GCTATCTCCGAGCATCTGGCACTTTCTGAAGCAGAGACGCGGGCAGTGTGTCTGGAGCCTGCGGGGCCGGCGGTGGCTGGCGCGGGAGGCGGGAGTCGCTCTTCCTCGTGCCCTCCACGGCTCCTCCGTGCGCCCATGAGCCAATGCCCAGCCGCACCTGCCCTGGACCCCGCCTGGCCAGTCGTGCTGTCTCCATGGGAGCTGTGGCTCCCAGGCCCAGGGGTCCCTCGTGAGCGGCTGCAGCACTTGCCTGTGTCTGAGAAGAGCCGGGGAGCTCCGGCTGTCCTGGGCCGGTGGCGCAGGGGACACTGAGGGGGCCACCTTGGGCTCTGCCCGGAGCTGTCTGCGGCCTTAGTCTCCTGTTTCCCTGCCCGCCTGGCTTCCCAGGTCGCACTTTCGGAGCCCCACCATCCCTCCGGTGGCTCCAAAGTCCCCTTCCTCTCTCGCCAGGTGGACGGAGGCCGCCTGAGGGCCTGGGCAGCGTCACCGTGTGCTGGGATGCTGAGCCGTGGGTGAGGGGAGCCAGGGGACCTGGCCAGGAGGCGGCCTCTCTGTGGCTTTGTAGAGCTGCTCTGGGGCACGGAAACTGAACTGGGGATGGGGAGGCATCGGGCCGCCTGGCCTGGGCCTCACGCAGATCTGCTCTGAGCCACGGCCGCAGAGGTTCTGGGAGGCGCGGGGTCTGCAGGTCCTGCCTGGCCCCTGCCACCCCCAGCCCGCCCGGCCCGACCGCTTCTCCCCTCCAGTGTGCGAGCTCCAGTGTACACTTTCAAATGTAAAAACTTATATTATTGTGGGGGTTTTTGTATATTGCTGTATCTACTTTAATTTCGAGAAATAAAAGTGATATGGAACCATCTGAGAGCCTGGCCGGCCCGAGCGGGGACAGCAGCCGGGAGGGCTGGGTGGGGGTCTCGCCCCGGCGGTGCAGTGAGGCCGCACCCTGTTTATCCAGGCTGCCAGCCTCCAGGTGAGGGGCCATAGGGTGGGGTCCCCTCCCCTTCCTGCCCTCCCAGAGCGCTGTGTTCTGTGTGGTCTGATAAGCTGCTGGCCGGGTGGGGACCCCGCGAGCCCCTCTCCTCCTGCCCTTTATCACCCTCTGCTCAGTGCTCCTGCAGCCGCCAGCTCGGGTCTCCCACCGCCCCTCCGCCCAGTGCCAGGGAGACAGGCAGCAGCTTCCCCTAGGAGGATGTGATTGGAGATGACGCCGCCTCTGCTTCTCCTACCTGACAGCCCGGGCCCTGCCAACCCATCCTACCCAGGGGGCTCGGAGTGTCGGTCCCGGGTTCAGCTGGGATCCGCCGCCCCCACCCAGGCAGCTGCATGGCGCCCCCTGCTGGCCAGTGCCCCAGGGCCAGGCCACCCGAGGCGGGCCTCAGCCCCAGCTCCGTGGGATTGCAATGCAGCAGGCAGGAGGGGCCTGGACCACAACCCTGCGGCCCACGGGTCATTTCCCCCCCTTTCTTGGGCCTGCGAGCCCCCGTACCTGGCTCCTGGGTCCCCAGGAAGCAGCGACACAAGGGACAGAACTGTCCTAGGCTGAAACAGCACCAGCCACACGGGAAGGAACCACTCCTGCACTGGGGTCCCCTCCGGAAAGCCGCCGGCAGCCGGGAGCAGACAGCCTGCTTATGCAAAATATATTTTATTAACGCTGTTCACACACAGGTGTGGTCCGTGTGCAATGTACTGAGGAATCCTCCGGCTCCACTCCCTACGGAGAAGTCAGAAGCCAGGCTCCGATCTGTCACCCTCAGCTCTGACAGCTGTCACTCACCTGGGGGGCATCGTGGCCTCCCGGCCACAGCTGCTCAGGTCACAGCGGTCACAGAGGTCCCACCCTGTGCGCCTCCCTTTCTCAAAAGCCAGGTCGCACGGGGAAGCCAGGCAGCACGAGAGGCGAGGGGGCGGTGCAGAGGCGCCATCAGCGGGACAGGGATGGGCGTGGAAACAGCCCCTGCAGGGCCGCTGTGCCCAGGGCCTGGAGCTCAGTCTGCCGGGCCGTGGCCTGGGCCCTTAAGGACAGATTGTCTCTGCCCCAGCAGCACCCATGGTTCCTAGGGCCACCGCTGCTGTAGCCATGTGCCCAGGCCCACGGAGTGTCCACACGGCCTGCGAAGGCACCAGTGTGCACAGCAGTGCCACGACCGCTCCTGTGTGCCCTGTCCGGGGAGGAGCCGGGCTGGCTCAGGACAGGGCGCCGTGGCCGGGGAGAAGAGCCCTGCGGGGGGGAGAGGCACATGTCCAGGCAGCCGCGGCCGGCACAGGAGCGCCTCCACGTGCTGGGCCACGTCCACGGTCTTGTCCAGCTTGAAGTGTCCATCCTGGTCCAGAATGGGGTTGGGGCTGGGTCGGGGACGGCGGGGACAGGGTGGGGGCTGGACACTCGTTTGGGGACCGCCTACTTGATCTGTGGCTTCACGTAGCCGTCCACGGCGTTAGCTGTGGGGAGAGCGGGGTGAGCAGCTTGTCTCCAGGTGTCCCAGGTGGGCAGGGCACCTCAGCATCGGCCCTGCCCGTGTCGCCGGGGGCTCCTTGAGGGATTTCCCAAGGGTGCTGACAGCCGGGGCCACTGGCACAGAGACCCCAGCTGTAGCTTCTCCCTGCGCCACCCCCTGAGGGAACAGCCCATGGGCGGCAGCAGACCCCACGGATGGGTCAGGCCGGAGGGGAGAAGCCTGTCCACTTCCTTCCTCTCTCCCTCTTTAAGCAGGGTCTCACTCTGTGGCTCAGGCTGACATAGAACTTGCCATCCTCCTGCCTCAGCCTCCTGAGTGATGGGATGACAGGCCTGTGCCACCATGCCCAGCTCTTACCACGTCTGTTTTGGTGCGGAAGTGGATGACTCCTGCCTTGCACGCAGCAGACAGACGTCAGAATGCCTCCAGCTCTCCTTAGCCATGAGCCCCAAAGTCCCTGTCATTCTGGGGACCCCATGGTGCACCCCAGGGGCAGTGTAGGGACCCACCAAGCACCGGCATGTAGCACCTGGAGAAGGCCTTGTCCTTGGGCCAGTCGGGGAGCACACAGAGGCAGCCCATGTCGCGGTGCAGGGCTTGAGGTCCCTTCCAGGGGGTGCGGTCGACTGCAGGGTGGGCGGGGGTTGGAGAGACACAAACCCACCACTCAGGAGTCGACTTCCAGGCGATGGTGAGGATGCCCATCTCCGAGTCGCTGAAGCGCAGCAGGAAGGTGCCGTTGGGCGGGCTGTGCGCCCGCTGCCTACTCACCAAGCCCAGGATGGTGCTGCGGGAGGGGCGTGCGTCACGGAGGGCCGTGTTCCCAGGCCCTGTGCCCAGCCGCAGCCTGGCCCTTACCTGTCGTTCCAGTGTGGCTTGAGAGTCCTCAGCAGGCTCCGAGGAGCCAGGAGTGAGCGCCACCCTGGGGCTTTTGTTGTTTACTTGGAAAGAAAATCTCACTAAGTTGCCCAGGCGAGCTGTAAATGTGTGATCCTCCTGCCTCAGCCTCCCAAATTGCTGGGATTACAGGTGTGCACCACCTCACCCAGCCTGGGAGGGGAGCTCTAAAGAGTGATCCAGGCTGGCTGGACCTCTAAAGTCATTTCTGCCTCATGTCTTCACCCGAAAGGTGGGGAAACAGAGGCAGAGGGGCTGCTAATTACAAACTGGTTCAGGCCCAGGTCCCTTCAGTCGTCCTGGCCTGGCGTGCCCCTGCTGTGTGTCTTGGGGTCTGGTCCCATCTGTCCCACCATGGGAGGCGGAGGCTGTGACCCCAGCCTGGGCCTGGGAGAGGAACAGGTCTCAGGGGCCCACACCCTGCTGAACTGTGACCAGGACACGGACAGGCCCTGCGGGGCGACAGTGGGCGGCTGAGGGCACTGGACGTGTCCATGCACACGTGCGGTCAGGAGACGGGGAGGACCCAGAGCCCCCAGAAAGGAGGCGGAAGCAGAGGGGACTAAGGCAGGGGGCAAGAGTGGGCTGGCAGGGTGCAGACCCAGCCCTGGGGTCGAGGACAGTTACTCATGGCTTGTGGTCCTGGCTGCCGTGGGAGGTCACCACCACGGGCGGGACGGTCTGTGGGGCCAGAGGGGAGCTGAGGCACCCACGAGCCCCAGCCCTGTCCCCAGGGGCCGCCGCGGGCCCAGCCTCACCCTCACCCGGAAGGCCAGCTCCTTCCCGTCGAAGACAAAGCGAACTCCTCGGCACCAACCCTGCCGCTGCCGCTCAGCCCTCTTGACCTCCAGCACACAGCCGTTGTTCAGATCTTGCCCCTGCTCTCCTTGCAACCACAGGGAGCCCGGCTCGGGGGCTCTGGCCAGCCTGCGGGGCTGTCCCTGAGATGGCCCCACCCTGGGGGTTCTGCCTGGGGTCCCCAGTGACTGTCCCCCTCCAAAGGTGCTGGAGGCCAGGTCCCCAAGGAGACAGCCCACATCTCCGACCTCCATGGCCTCCCCAAGCTTCCAGGCCTTTGAAATAAATAAGCATAGCTGGACGTAGGGGGTGGGTGTGTGTGTGCCTGCAATCATGGCTACTCAGGAGGCTGAGGCAGGAAGGTTGCAAGTTCAAGGCCAGCCTGGGCCACTAAGCCAGACCTAAAAACAAGGACTGGAGCAGGGGCAGCTCAGAACATCTGCCCGCCACACAGGAAGCCCTGGGTTCTGTCCCTAGCATCTCAAAGGAAAAAAGGGAAGGAAGGAAGGAAGGAAATAGAGATCAGTCCTGGCCTTTGGTGTGCCTGGCCCCAAGTCCACCCACACTCAGGATGAGCAGGCCCCATGACCGGCCTCTGCCCCCCACACAGCCAGCTCTGCTGGGTCTCTGACTATATCTATGTTTGATCACCTTTGACTGCTCCTTTATTTTTCTAAATCACTGGGGATTGAACCCAGGGCCTCCACAGTGAGCTACATCCCCAGCACTTTATTTTTAATCTTAATATAGGCTCTTGCTAAGTTTCTGAGTTGTCCAGGCCAGGCTCCACTTTGCCACCCTCCTGCCTCAGCCTCCGAGAGTGTGTATTCTACAACTGGCTGTCTCCACCTTATTCTACTTTATTTGTTGTTTTGTTGTTGTCATGGGTGTTGAGGCAGGGTCTTGCTTTGTAGAACAGGTTGCCTTGAACTCACTATGTAGTCCAGGCAGGCTGCCCTTCAACTCAGGTGATCCTCCTGCCTCAGCCTCCTGAGTGCTGAGATCACAGGTGTACACCACCACACTCAACTCTTATTTAAAAAATGTGCTGCTCTTAGCTCCCCGATACCTGAGAGCTTTATTGTCTCTGCATCCCACCACCCCTGGTCACACGACGGGTATGGGGCCGGCTGGCCACGCGGTCCGTCCGGTGACATGGGGGGGAGAGGGCTAGGCCCTGTGAGTCGCAGCTCTGTCCCCTCTTCTCGGTGCAGTGAGGGCAGAGGGCAGTGCCACCTTGCTGTGCGCCTGCCCTCCCTGGAGGGAGGAGCACCAGGGTGGGGACACAGCTCAGCGGTACCGCGCCTGCCTCGTAAGCCCAAGGTCCTGAGTCCAGTCCCTGGTACTGGTGGAAAAACGGCAGTGGTGATGTGGTCCCCTGGGCGGCCCACGGTCTAGGTGAGGCACGGAGGCCTTCAGCTCCGATGTCCCAGCTGTCCCTGTCCACTGCGGTCACCATGGACTGAGTGGCCGTCTCACTGGGCCCTGTGTCCCGCCCCTGTCATGGACCCGGTGGCCACGGGTCACACCCCACCAAACCTGAGCTGAATTCAGCCTCAGGGACAGAGGGGACCACAGTCCTCGCCCACCTACCACGCGGAGTGGCACCCCCGGGCCCCCCGCCACGGCTCCCCATGGCGCGTCCGTCCCGGGCCTCACCAGGACTGGAGCAGGTCCAGGCTGCCCTGGGGGCCCCGCTGCACGAACTGGCAGGACCTGCCCCATACATATTTCCCGCCTCCGAGCCACACGGTTCCTGAACGCCTGGCGTGTTTCCCACCCACCCACCGTCCCCGTGGAGTGCGTCTGTCACTTGCTGTGCCACATCCCGAGGCACAGGGCTCCGCACCGCGCCCAGGTCCCTGGGAGGAAGCTGGGTTCTCCTCGCCCTCACCCTGGAGCCGCAGGCTCTCCTGGTACTGGATGATGAAGTACTCCTGGGCCTGCTGCAGCTTCTTCAGCTCACTCTCTGTGTCCTGCGTCCCCAGCCGCAGCTCCTCGAATGTCTGGCTGAGCTGCTCGCCACCCCTGCTTCCTGCCCGCTCAGACCTCGTCATACTACACCACCAGGAGCCTTTGTGGCTGCAGACACTCCGGCCTTTTCCCTCGCCAGCCTGTCCTCCTCTTCCCCATGACCTGGGCCAGTTCTGCTCAAGCAGATGCCACCAGGTGATGCTGCTTTTGTTTTGAGACAGGGTCTCCTGTGTCGTTCAGGTTGGCTCAAACTCATGGTGATCCTCCTGCTTCAGCCTCCCCAGTACCGGAATCATGGTTTATGTCACCACACCCAGCCACATTCCTATTTTGGACCCAGACATTTATCGAATGTCAGATGTTGTCCCTCATGATGAGCAAGGCCATCTCTGTCGCCCACAGACTTGTGTGTGCGCACACGTGTGTGTGTGTGTGTGTGTGTGTGTGTTTAGGGTTCTCTCTTCTGTCCCAGTGGTCTGTGTTCCTGTCCTTTGCTGCACAGCATCTCAGTGAGGCCCATTTACAACAGAGGAAAGTGATGGAGCCCCCAGGGTTGGTCCCTAGCGCCAATGAAGACAGCCACAAAAAAGAAAAAAGAAAGGCCTGGATACGGTGGTAGTGCTTATCATCCCTGCTGCCTGGGAGGCCGAGGCAGGAGGATCGCAAGTTTGATCCCCGGCGCGGACACTCACACTGGTGGCCTCCCGGACCAGCCTCTGCTCGCTGTACAGGATGTGCCGGATGCAGCGGACCAGCTCCAGGGGGCAGCCGTCATAGGTGTTCTGCAAGACCAGAGCCTCAGCCCATGCCCTCTGGCATTCCCGGTCCTCCATGGGAGCCCCAGGCAGTGGCTGTCTGCTGGTCCCTTTCCTGACTCACACTTGGTGCTCCTCCTGCCTCAGCCTCCCGAGTGGCAGGATGACACGGATGCCACAGCCGGCTCTCCCTCATCTGCAGAATCCGCCAGTGAGCCTCCCAGCAGGGGACTCCTGACTCAGTCTACCCCGTCCCTCTGCCAACCCCCAAGGTCTTGGGAACCCACACCCCGCACATGCCGCCTCTGACTTGGAGAGGGCCGGGAAGTTGGACGGAAGTTGTGAGAGAAGGGCTGGCGGCAGGACTGCGGGCCTGGGCTGCACCTGCAGCTGCGTGGCATCATGGCACCCCAGGAGGGCAGAGGGCAGAGCCTGCCACGCACAGCCTCCTTGGGTGGCATGGGGGGGGACGGGCCTGCGGGCCCACCAGGCCGGTGCAAAACCTCCTCTGTCCCCGTCCTGTTCCCCTTTCCGGGGACACCGCCCCTTCCACGCAGAGCACCGAGGAGGCCGGGCCCTGGGACCCCTACCTGGCCAGGTACTGGGGCCCCTCGATGGGGAAGCGCAAGCCGAACAGGGCTTGCGCCTGGCGCAGGGAG